TGTGTGTGTTTTTTGCACATTTTGTTTGTGTACAAGGATTTAATAATGGCGTATGTTTTTTCCCCAACCCCACTCCCATCTGTATTCCAGCTCCCTCACCAAATTGATCAAAGCTTTTTGAAATCACAAGCATATACTCTCCTTTCACGCCTCCCCTCTCCCTAGCTTTTTTCAACCCCAACTCCCTCTTCTTCCCCTCCCCCCCCCCCCCCCCCTTTCCCCCCTTTTTCCCCCCTTCCCCCTCCCCCCCAAAAATCCCCCCTTGGGGTTTTTCAAAAACCCCCCCCTCCCCCCCCCCCCCCCCCCCCCCTTTCCCGGGCCCCCCTTTCCCCCCCCCCAAAAATCCCCCCCTCCCCCCTTTTCCCTTTCCCCCCCTTTCCCCCAAAAAACCCCCCCTCTTTCCCCCCCCCCCCCTCCCCCCCCTTTTTTGGGGGCCCCCCACCCCCCCCCTTCTTTTCCCCCCCCCCCCCCCCCTTCCCCCCCCCCCCCCCCCCCCCCCCCCCCCCCCCCCCCCCCCCCCCCCCCCCCCCCCCCCCCCCCCCCCCCTTTCTCCCATCTTTCCCTCTTTTCCCCAACCCCCCCCTCCCCCCTCTCTCCCTCCTCCCCCCTCCCTCTCCCCTCCCTCCCCCTTTCTTTTCTGCCCCAATTCTGGCCCCCCAAAAATTTTATCCCCCTTTAAACAAAATTCCCAATTGGTTGGCATTAACCCCTTTAAACCCCCTCTTAAACCCCCACGCCCCTCTCAACCTCCCGAGGTCTGAGACTGACATTGATTATAGAGATTATATAGAGCGAGAGAGGCTCAACCAGGAACAACAGTCACTGGAGAAGTGGGTCATAACACAGACTCCTGTTTGCTATTGGATTAGAGTTAGCCACAATGTTGACTAGCAGGCTGACAGGCCTACCGGAGCAGGCAGAGTGAGGCTGCGATTTGCATTGCACTGTCCCAATTCTCCACCCCTGCACTTGCACACTGCCTGTCATTTTAAAAGCATAGGAATGTTCTAAGCATTGGCAGGAAGGAGTTTCCACCATTGCTAAATCGAAGGCAAGCGCACACTTCGGGAAAATGGTGGAGAATCTGGATGCAGCCTTTGACTTTGTGCCCAGACTGCCATTTTTCCATCATCACAGCAGGGGTGGGGTGGGGGTTCCTCTGGTTCCTCAGGGGTGGGATGGGGGATCCTCTGGTTCCTCAGGTGTGGGGTGCGGGGTTCCTCTGGTTCCTCAGGGGTGGGGTGGGGGTTCCTCTGGTTCCTCAGGGGTGGGGGTTCCTCAGGGGTGGGGTGGGGTTTCCTCTCGTTCCTCAGGGGTGGGGTGGGGGTTCCTCTGGTGCCTCAGGGGTGGGATAGGAGTTCCTCTGGTTCCTCAGGGGTGGGGTAGGGTGGGGGTTCCTCTGGTTCCTCAGGGGTGGGGTTGGAGTTCCTCTGGTGCCTCAGGGGTGGGGTGGGGGTTCCTCTGGTTCCTCAGGGGTGGGGTAGGAGTTAATCTGGTTCCTCAGGGGTGGGGTAGGAGTTCCTCTGGTTCCTCAGGGGTGGGGTAGGAGTTCCTCTGGTTCCTCAGGGGTGGGGTAGGAGTTCCTCTGGTTCCTCAGGGGTGGGGGTTCCTCTGGTTCCTCAGGGGTGGGGTAGGAGTTCCTCTGGTTCCTCAGGGGTGGAGTAGGGGTTCCTCTGGTTCTTCAGGGGAGGGGAGGGGGTTCCTCTGGTTCCTCAGGGGTGGGGATTCCTCTGTTTCCTCTCCAAAAGTAATCTGTTCAGAATTAGCCCACCACAATACAACCACATTCCAGCTAACTGTAGTGTACGTGGGCTTCATATGGCCATAGTTAACCAGACACAGTAAAAGGCATCATTGTGTATTTGGTGACTGAGATTAATTAGCTTGAGGGAGATGGGGGGGAGGGGGGGGCACTGTCATTACGCTGCACTGTGTGTGAGTGTGTGTTTGTGCCCGTGTGTGACAGACACAGAGCTCAATTTATCCATCTGTGTGGCACTGTCTGTCTTGTGTGGTGGACTGTCTACCCTAAAGCTAGCTATTTCAAAATACCTTGTTTCCAATGTTTTCATGGAGTCAGTTGGACCGTACAGTACGTGCTTATTGAGGGGGGGGGGGGGGGGGGGGGGGTATTGTGGGGCTGAGTAACCACAGCTGGGCATTATAGAAACCATATTACTGCCTGATAAGCTGCTATTAGAGGTGTGTGTGGGGGAGAGGGACGCAGGTGCTCCGTGGGCTGATATTACCCAGGATGCATAGGGATGTGGGGGGGAGGGGGGCTCTCTCTGTGGAGCGCAGAAACACACCTGTGATCCCCTTGCTAGCACGCTCAAACACTTCCCCACTTCGGCAGATGAATCCACACTCTGATAAACATGCTAATACTGCGGAGCAGGGAGCACACACCATGGAGCACATCACAGGCACCAAGCCAACAGCACGTGGCACTCGGCTCTACATTAACACAGTGTGGACAAAAAACTACAGCCTAGCTAGATAAGACAGGATGATAAAACTACAGCCTAGCTAGATAAGACAGGATGATAAAACTACAGCCTAGCTAGATAAGACAGGATGATAAAACTACAACCTAGCTAGATAAGACAGGATGATAAAACTACAGCCTAGCTAGATAAGACAGGATGATAAAACTACAACCTAGCTAGATAAGACAGGATGATAAAACTACAACCTAGCTAGATAAGACAGGATGATAAAAAACGACAGCCTAGCTAGATAAGACAGGATGATAAAACTACAACCTAGCTAGATAAGACAGGATGATAAAAAACTACAGCCTAGCTAGATAAGACAGGATGATAAAAAACTACAGCCTAGCTAGATAAGACAGGAGGATAAAAAACTACAACCTAGCTAGATAAGACAGGATGATAAAACTACAACCTAGCTAGATAAGACAGGATGATAAAAAAAACTACAGCCTAGCTAGATAAGACAGGATTATAAAAAACTACAGCCTAGCTAGATAAGACAGGATGATAAAAAACTACAGCCTAGCTAGATAAGACAGGAGGATAAAAAACTACAGCCTAGCTAGATAAGACAGGAGGATAAAAAACTACAGCCTAGCTAGATAAGACAGGAGGATAAAAAACTACAACCTAGCTAGATAAGACATGATGATAAAAATCTACAGCCTAGCTAGATAAGACAGGAGGATAAAAATCTACAGCCTAGCTAGATAAGACAGGAGGATAAAAAACTACAACCTAGCTAGATAAGACAGGAGGATAAAAATATACAGCCTAGCTAGATAAGACAGGAGGATAAAAAACTACAACCTAGCTAGATAAGACAGGATGATAAAGAACTACAGACTAGCTAGATAAGACAGGATGATAAAAAACTACAACCTATAAGACAGGATGATAAAAAACTACAACCTAGCTAGATAAGACAGGATGATAAAAAACTACAGCCTAGCTAGATAAGACAGGATGATAAAAAACTACAACCTAGCTAGATAAGACAGGATGATAAAAAAACTAAAACCTAGCTAGATAAGACAGGATGACAAAAACTACAACCTAGCTAGATAAGACAGGATGACAAAAACTACAACCTAGCTAGATAAGACAGGATGATAAAAAACTAAAACCTAGCTAGATAAGACAGGATGACAAAAAACTACAACCTAGCTAGATAAGACAGGATGACAAAAAACTACAACCTAGCTAGATAAGACAGGATGATAAAAAACGACAACCTAGCTAGATAAGACAGGATGATAAAAAACGACAACCTAGCTAGATAAGACAGGATGATACGCTCCTGTGGCACTCTCAACTGTGATACCAGGTTGATTATTGATCCTTGTTGAGCTGTCAACTTCATCCTCCGAAATAAGTACTTTTGATAGTGATAATAAATAGGGTACTTTTGTTTATATATAAACTCAGCAAAAAAAGAAATGTCCCTTTTTCAGGACCCTGTCTTTCAAAGATAATTCGTAAAAATCCAAATAACTTCACAGATCTTCATTGTAAAGGGTTTAAACACTTAATGAACATGCACCTGTTGAACGGTCAGTAAGACACTAACAGCTTACAGACGGTAGGCAATAAAGGTCACAGTTATGAAAACTTAGGACACTAAAGAGACCTTTCTACTGACTCTGAAAAACACCAAAAGAAAGATGCCCTGGGTCCCTGCTCATCTGCGTGAACGTGCCTTAGGCATGCTGCAAGGAGGCATGAGGACTGCAGATGTGGCCAGGGCAATAAATTGCAATGTCCGTACTGTGAGACGCCTAAGACAGCGCTACAGGGAGACAGGATCGACAGCTGATCGTCCTCGCAGTGGCAGACCACATGTAACAACACCTGCACAGGATCGGTACATCCGAACATCACACCTGTGGGACAGGTACAGGATGGCAACAACAACTGCCCGAGTTACACCAGGAACGCACAATCCCTCCATCAGTGCTCAGACTGTCCGCAATAGGCTGAGAGAGGCTGGACTGAGGGCTTGTAGGCCTGTTGTAAGGCAGGTCCTCACCAGACATCACCGGCAACAACGTCGCCTATGGGCACAAACCCACCGTCGCTGGACGAGACAGGATTGGCAAAAAGTGCTCTTCACTGACGAGTCGCGGTTTTGTCTCACATGGGGTGATGGTCAGATTCGTGTTTATCATCAAAGGTATGAGCGTTACACCGATGCCTGTACTCTGGAGCGGGATCGATTTGGAGGTGGAGGGTCCATCATGGTCTGGGGCAGTGTCTCACAAGCATCATCGGACTGAGCTTGTTGTCATTGCAGGTAATCTCAACGCTGTGCGTTACAGGGAAGACATCCTCCTCCCTCATGTGGTACCCTTACTGCAGGCTCATCCTGACATGACCCTCCAGCATGACAATGCCACCAGACATACTGCTCCTTCTGTGCGTGATTTCCTGATAGACAGGAATGTCAGTGTTCTGCCATGGCCAGCGAAGAGCCCAGATCTCAATCCCATTGAGCACGTCTGGGACCTGTAGGATCGGAGGGTGAGGGCTAGGGCCATTCCCCCCAGAAATGTCCGGGAACTTGCAGGTGCCTTGGTGGAAGAGTGGGGTAACATCTCACAGCAAGAACTGGCCAATCTGGTGCAGTCCATGAGGAGGAGATGCACTGCAGTACTTAATGCAGCTGGCGGCCTTACTGCAGAGCTGTCATCAAGGCAAAGGGTGGCTACTTTGAAGAATCTAAAATCTAAAATATATTTTGATTTATTTAACACTTTTTTTGGTTACTACATGATTCCATATTTATTATTTCATAGTTTTGATGTCTTCACTATTATTCTACATTGTAGAAAATAGTAAAAATAAGAAAAACCATTGAATAAGTAGGTGTGTCCAAACTTTTGACTAGTACTGTATATACATATACATATATATATATATTTAATTTTTTTACTCAACACTCCTTACATTAATTAACCCTTTATACTGTACCACCATGCCGACCTGAACCATGCTCTAATATTGCTTGGAAATCTCCCACTCGCTGGCTGTCGAGAGAGACTAAATACAAAGACATTGAGGTAGAGAGTAAAGGGAGAAGTGATAGAGGGACAGAGCACACACAAACTGTTGTGCAGTGACACACTTAATTACAAACCGCAAACTGACAGCCTTGTGTAACTGCCCGGGAGCTTATTCTTAATAGACCATTGGCTCTCACACTGTAGCCAATCACGTTTAACAGGCAGTTAATACAGGGGTCAGGCAGGGCTGCAGGGGTCCAAGGTTAGGGATACTTACTCTCCTGGATGCTTCTATGCATACTAAAACTCCCAAATACTGTAACTACGTATCTCTTCTCATTCATTTTCTCAGTGCAGCGGTCAATATTTGAAAGTTCCAGTTTGGCTCCTGAGTTGCAAATGAATTGCTTAATACACCCTGTCCCCACATACCGTTGGTTAGCGAAGGTCCCTGTCTGAGCTCTGAGTAGCTGTCAAATCAAATCAAATCAAAGCAAATCAAATCAAATTGTATTGGTCACATGCGCCGAATACAACAGGTGCAGACATCACAGTGAAATGCTTACTTACAGCCCTTAACCAACAGTGCATTTATTTTTAACAAAAAAAGTAAAAAATAAAACAACAACAAAAAAAGTGTTGAGAAAAAAAAGAGCAGAAGTAAAATAAAATAACAGTAGGGAGGCTATATATACAGGGGGGTACCGTTGCAGAGTCAATGTGCGGGGGCACCGGCTAGTTGAGGTAGTTGAGGTAATATGTACATGTGGGTAGAGTTAAAGTGACTATGCATAAATAATTAACAGAGTAGCAGCAGCGTAAAAAGGATGGGGTGGGGGGGCAGTGCAAATAGTCCGGGTAGCCATGATTAGCTGTTCAGGAGTCTTATGGCTTGGGGGTAGAAGCTGTTGAGAAGTCTTTTGGACCTAGACTTGGCACTCCGGTACCGCTTGCCGTGCGGTAGCAGAGAGAACAGTCTATGACTAGGGTGGCTGGAGTCTTTGACAATTTTGAGGGCCTTCCTCTGACACCGCCTGGTATAGAGGTCCTGGATGGCAGGAAGCTTGGCCCCAGTGATGTACTGGGCCGTACGCACTACCCTCTTCCATAGGGACAGATTCAACTATATCAGCGTCACCTCCCAGAGGTGTGTGTGTGTGTGTGTGTGTGTGTGTGTGTGTGTGTGTGTGTGTGTGTGTGTGTGTGTGTGTGTGTGTGTGCGTGTGTGTGTCTACCAGGGTGCCAATGAGTAACCGATCCCCTTATCAAGACATGCACAATAGAGGAGAATGGCTGATGGATTGGAGGCATCATGTGACCATGTTGATGACTGCTGCTGTTAATATCTGAAGGGTGCCAGTGTCCCTACACTAATCCACCAGGGTCAATCATTCATCTGAAAGGTGACTGACTGGGCCGTGTCTGGATGGATGACAGAGGGAGAGGGGAGGCATTCCGAGAACGTGCTGCTATGAATGTGATGTAGTCGTTTCACCTAGCTGCCTTAAGATGAATGCCCTTACTGTAAGTGGCTCTGGATAAGAGCGTCTGGTGAATGACTAAAATGTAAATGTAAGTACTGAAAGCACTATGAATAGGCAGAGGAATAAGAGTATTGTGGTGAGATGTTTAGCCAAGAAAAGTAGACATTAGTAGTTGAAACATGATTCCCAAACAGCCATTTCATAAATCAAACCCCTTTGAAGATAAATTAAACAGTCTGAAATAAACTGGGCATGTCAAAGTGACTTTTATAGCACGACCAGGATGCTTTTACTTTAGGTCTCTTTGTGGTTTACAACAAATGTAACTTTTATTGTGTGAAATATCGACACATAAAATTATCGGATTCCAGACTTCTAACGGTTGCAGCCTTATTAGTCTTTAATCGTCTGTGTTTTTCCCTCTGGAATGCACTTCAGATGTTTTTTTAGGGACATCAAATCCATCACGCTTTGATCGAATGCTATTTAGAAGTGGACTTGAAAGCTGAGGCTCGTCCA